GCCAGCCCGCCAGCCCGCCAGCCAGCCAGCCAGACAAAAACTTTATATAGCCTTTATTTAAATACCAAAATTGTTAAAATTTGAAATACAATAATTATGAAAATTTAAAATTACGATAAATATCAATTGAAAGTACATACTGTTATAAAAAATGATAAAACTAAGAATGTTCCTCTTGAATCATTCATCTTGTTACAACTTCTCAAGGCCTCTGAGAAGGAATTCCACAGTTTTGCACTTAGGTGTAAAATCTGTGCGAATAGATACTGCATGAAAACTACAAAAGCGCGTTTGTTTCCTTCTCTCTACGGTTAAATTTCGTGATTACGAAAAGACAAGACAAACAAACAGCAGGGAGTGAGAGAAACAAAAATACGAACATATACCTGCATAACGATAGACTTCGCCTGTCAAGAGGAAAAAAAGTACACATCTGTTAGGTTCCTGACAAAGCACGTGGAGACGAGTAAATGTCATGTGGCATATAAAAGGTTTGAGTTGTAGGAGAGGGTGTACATACTGTAAATAATTAAGATATGTGGCATTTAACTCTCCGAATAATTGCCGCTCAAAGTCTAGCAGAAATTGTACTCATTCTTTAAGGAACTACGTCACGGTTTGCACATCTTTTAGCCTACAGTTCGTCGTTTGTAATCCATGTTAATCTTCTCCATCCTTGTTCCTTAATGGTTTGTTATTATCTCTTTGGTGTTTTTCTATCTTAGTAAGCTACTATTTTCAGGTTTCCTTTAATTTAAAGGCAATTTTGAACGTGGCCAAAATTACTGGAAATACCATGACTGAACTCTTATAAAGGCAAGTTTCACTCTTCGGCAGATGGGTTGTTAGCTTGTCGGTGGAACAGTGTGGAGTGTAATAGTGTTTTTCAGCCACTTTTCAGTTTATGCTAGCTGGATAACTTCAAAATCCAGACAATCCTCAAGGCGTAAAACTTACTTCTCTTTCTGGCACTGTTTTATGTTGTTTCAGCAAGAAATCCAAGTCATTGCCATCACAGTATTCAAGAACAGTACAGAACCTAAAGATATTGACAAAACAACTCAAGAACGACTGTGAAAACTAAATACTCCCTGGCAAAAAAGGCAATTGAAGTAAATTTATGCTAATTATTACAATTATTACAATAAAATATTACAATTATTACAACGTCACTACATTGATAACTTACGAGTGTTGACCAATCTCAAAGACATCATAAAGGCGCACAATCCTCTAGAAAAGAAAACAAACGGCATACGCAGAGCTGAGGCTTGACGTTTGATGGTCCGACACGGCAAGAATGGAATAATGCTAATTAAAAATCAACCAAACTTTGAAGCAAGACATTAATTGTATCAACTTACTGGATGATCTAGTGACTTATGAATATTGTACTCTCGTAACGCGTGTCTGCAAATGTGATAAAAGAAGCGTGTGTCAGGTTCAGTGAAACACCTCATGAGTCATTATGAAACAAGTCAGGATTAGACTTTGATGAGTAAATATATAATAAGGGAAAAAAGAAATCATAAACTAAGGAGTTAAATTTACAGTTTTGTTAACAATATTTATCGATCAAGGTTAGTACGTTTCTTGAGGTTTTAAAACTCCATGACTTTCCATGACCTTTACGAGTTTATCACGACCTATGCTAAGTAGTTGTTCTCAAAGTATTGTCAAAACAATCTGTTATGTAAGGTTATTTCCCACATCATGATGCATAGAATGCGTGCTAGTGTTTCAATTTTACAGGAATTAAAACCGGTTTTCTGACTCGTCTGATCATTTTTTCTTTTTATTCTCAGAAAGTACACTACTTTTCCATGACTTTCCATGACTTTCCATGACCCACACTTCCATTTCAAGACTTTCCAGGCCTGGAAAATGAAATTAAAAATTCCGACTTTCCAGGTTTTCCATGACCCATACGAACTCTATAATGATACACTATAGACAATAAAACAGGCTTAACTTCCAACCCAAAGACTACATCAGACAACACAATTCAGCCAAGTTCCATAGCAGACAGACTTACTTAATATAGTTTGTTTTCTTATCTTCTTTCCAGTCATTAAATAATTGATGTATTTTGCAGGCGACATATCTGTGTTCCTTGAGATCATATCCCTGAAAAAAACACCAATGAAAGTCAAACAATAGATCTAGTATCTTCACAGTTAAACAATAAATCCAGTATCTTCACAGTCAAACAATAAATCCAGTATCTTCACAGTCAAACAATAAATCCAGTAGTTCTATAAAATGATCGCCTGGGTAAGGGTATACTTCTGAAAAGAACTGTTGTTGGTGACTGACGTTTCGACAACCTGTGCGAAAGTCACCTACAGAGTCCTTATATCTCCATTTCATTTGATCCAACAAGTATACAGTAAGCTACTTCAAGTCAGGACAAAGCTGAGGAAATACACTTCCTCAGAGAATAACTATCTATACCTCACATTTACCAGGCAAGAGAGTATCTTACATTAAGTATCGAAAATTAAGTTAAAGCACTCTTAAAAATAACTTTTTCAACAATCTCACCTTATAAACTTCACTGAAGCCTCCTTTACCTAATAAATTTAGCAATAAGTATCTACTGTTTAGAGTTGGATGATCCTTAAATCTGCAGAAATAAAGTGTTAGAATAGATCAATGAGGGAATTATGACAGCAATGAAAAGTACTTGTAATTACTGTCAACTTGTACTTTAGTTTTGGTTGCCAGAAATCAAAGTTAATATACTGAGCACTTTAGAAACATTGCAGATGGCGGGTTCCAATAAGGGCTGCGCACCAAATGGACTGGCCGTGAGGATGATTTTGCCTGCCTGGTTTGACCACCTAGCTAAAGGAATATTGTTTTTCAGAGAAGCGTTTTGCTTGGCTGCTGACCAGTTGTCTTCCTGCTGAAAACGTTAATGAAACCCCTTGGATGTTTCAAAGGAAATTTGTAACCTCCTACAAGGCATTCTTTTGTCTTGTCACACAATCCTTCCGGAGAAGTACATAATAAGCCAAAAGAAAGACTGCAGAGGCTCCAGAATTTTGCTAAACAGACAAATCCTGTAGGTCTGCAGTGCATACAGAGAGCTATAGACACAGGAATGCAGATTACCTCAAGACAGGAACACAGGTATATCAAGAGTGATTACTTGATAACCCTTTCTAAAATCCCAGTAGTGATCAATCTCTAATTTCTCATTTCAATACTAATACATTATTGAGCAAACAAACAAGGAGACTATGGAAAATCAACAACTAAGTTATAGCCTTGATGTACTGCCAAATTCTCTGAACTGACATAAAGAGCTGTATGGATATCAGTACTGAGAATAACCATTTTCAACTTGGAACTGAAAGGGTTGAGCACTTACTTTGAATTATCTTCATTGTGTATTCTTTTTGACTCTCGTATATGGAGGTTCCTTTCTCTATCCAGTTTTTCTAACTCCATTTGAAGATCTGTCTCTTCCTGGTGAGAATAATGTCAAAAAGCTAACATTGCATTACATGACAAAGAAATGGTAATCTATTGGCAGCATCATTTAAAAAAACAATCATCTGGGACCCAATCCTCAAGAATCTCTTTAATATACATGTATGCAGAGCAAAAATAAAATGACTTGTTTATTGATAATATATGGTAAGCTCTGAAGTTAATGAATTGTTGTTAGCCAAGATATCAAGTGGAGGGCCTCGGTGAAAACATGTGGACAACTTAGGCATTAAGATTTAAGATAATAAGAAAAAAAAATACACATATGTGAAAGAATATTATCACTAAAGAAATGACAACTGTTTGCACAAGTACAGCTTCCCAAGGACCACAAAAAAAGACCTTGTTACATACACTGATCATGAGACTTGTCTGTAAAGACAGCGCAACATGTCAGTTGATTAACAAGTGCAATTAATCTAGCATGGTGTCTGGGCTCATGAAAAACAACTAGCAAAGTAAAGCTACCTTCACAAGCAATTCAAGCCATGCTGGTTTTCCTTAATTTAATCTATTTACAGATAGGTATCACAGGGCCCGAAAAAAAACTTGAATTCCAGCTTCCCCTTGGGACAAGCATCTCTCAAATATTGCTTGCCCTGGGCAAGTCTTAGTTTGTTCTTTTAATGATTTAGTTAGCAGATGACTTGCAAGGTCCCAGTTTCCCATCGTGCAAGTGAGAGGGAAAAGGTACCTGCTCAGAAGGAGAATCTCCTTGTCCCCGACCACAAGACAGCACTTTTTTCGAGCCCTGTTACCATACATTGAAATTGGTGTTTAAATATCAGGCCAGCTAAGCCTTAACTGCAGAGTGGTGATTGAAGATGGTTCTTTCAGTAGGTTATTCATATTTTATTGTAGCAGTCTTGTCACTACACATAGAATTTAATTACCTTTTTAAGTGCCATAGCTCTGAGTTTTAAAATTTCCTCTCTCTCATGGTACTCCATTGGTGAAAGCCTATCAACAAGAACAAAATCGGATCAACAACAGTAATTAGATGCTGAGAGAAAATACTTCCAGTATTAAGGTTAGTTAACATGATTTGTAACTATGGTGTACTAGTCTGAAAATCATTCTCACTAGCCCTCAAAAAAGTTTTTCTCTGACATTACTTCATCTGTAATCTGAATTTCCTCAAACATTTTCCCACAAAACTTCACTTGTCCATTGTACAAGTGAAGTGTCTTGTCATCGGTTTGATGGCCAGAATCCACTACAGTGTGACAGCCAGAATTCATTAGCCAGGATGGATAATCCTCTAACCCTGGGCTATCGGACAGGACTTTCTTTGTGCACTGAGATGTTTTAGGTACACTGTACACCATTCATCTACTTACACTGGTGATGTTGGCCTTGCAAACTGATCACTATCTGAACTGGACGTCTTTGAAAGTCTTTTTTCTTTCACATCTGGAAATGAAAAGCAGTGTTAATTTTGACAAAAACAGCGACTAAAGAATTAAAATTTTAATTAAAAATACAAAACAACAATATCCAGCATTGTTTAGTTCCAGAAAATATCCATACCTCCCCCACGGAAGGGATTTTTTCTAGCACCTCCCCACCCCTCTGGAAATTCCAGTTAAGCTTCATACATTTCATAAAATTTTTTTGGTCTTCCAGAACCCCCCACCCCCCAGGAAATTCCAATCCCTTCTGTGGGGGGAATATGGATATTTTCTGGAACTGCACATTCAATAAAAAGAAGTTGGATATAAGTATCTACAAAATCGACAATCTAAAACTGACTTGCGGTATTAGAAGGCGGCTTTTTCTTTGCCAAGGCTTTCTTCTGTTTTTCTAATTCCTCCCTTTGCTGATTTATTCTTTCTTGTTGCCTGAAAATAAGATTGCTGTTGTTACGTCAGCTATTTTCCTGCCAGCAATCAGTAAAAGATAATTAAGGGGTGCTAGGGAGTGACTGACATCAGGAAATAATTTTATCTCTAAGGCAACATATGTGTACTGAAGGTCAGCAATCCATGCACAGAGCTACATACATGTGTATTTAGTATGTAATAAAATAAACCATCAATTAAATCAGAGAATTACCCTGCCAGCTCTTTGAAGGCATGTCCATCTACCCATGTCTCTACAAATGACACTCCTTGTCTATGTAAAGAAATTTTTAAAAAGGAACATTTAGAATTAAAAACATTTGCTTTGTCAGCAGACCAACAGTCATACTTGAAATCTATCTGAAACTTCTCAGTCTTCACAAAATGTGCATCACTGATGATAAGTGGACATCAAAAATTTTCTATGGAGCCTAAGATACCACCCTCTTGAAGAGCTCTGGGGCAAAATTTAGCCATACCTGTGTATTTCTCCACCAGTTTTGAATGCAAAGTGGTTGGTCCAAATTTGCCAACAAGTAACAATACTTTAAATCCAGCAATTACTATTCATATAAATTTTCTTGACAAGAAGTGGGCATCCACAGGGTGCCTGGACACTATTAAACTGAAAACCTGTACAGAGGGGTACACAGGGTTTGTACCCTTTTTCAGAAACAAATTTCCAGGACTTTTCCAGGACTTTCCCAGGACTCAGATTGATTTTTCCAGGACTCTAAAATTTACATTAACCCTTTCACTCCCAAGATCTCAATTTTAATTCTCCTTGCTGTGTGCCATACATTTCATATTTTTTACTTGAGTTTAACAGATTTCCAACACTTTCCAGGACCAGTAGCCCTTTTCCAGGACTTTCCAGTCCTGGAAAATGCATAGTAAAATTCCAGGACTTTCCAGGTTTTCCAGGACCTGTACGAACCCTGGGTACAGAAGGGTACAGAAGAGTATAGTACGTCCGGAATAACAACAGTGTCATAATCAAACAACATAAAATTTCTGTACATCCTACATTTTTGGGACACTTGCCAACTTTGCAAATTACAGAGAAATGAAATCCACTTCAATGTAAATCTGGTCTGTCAGAAATCAACAGTAACATTTACCTGACAGGGACAAACTGACCCAGTCGTAATCTGTTCTTCATGCAAGTTTCTCTGCCCGCTTTCTTTTCGAGGGTGGACTGTTTAAAAAAAAAAAATTGCCATGGGTATATAATTCTTTAAAGAAATCCGAATAAGTTGATGCAAGTAACTTTTTTTTTAGTCCATTTATGTATGATTGTCCTAATTAGGGTTACTGATGTTTCACATAACAGACAAGAATTCCATTCAGGTTGTGGAAATGTTGGTCACCAAGAACAGTCCTTGTAAGAACTACCCTCACCCGCATGATCACACAAGACTTAGAGCTAAATACTCCTATGTTCAAACCATAAACTTTACATTGGTATTTCTGTCTGTCTGTCTGTCTGTCTGTATGTTTGTCTCTGTCTGTTTGTCTCTGTCTGTTTGTCTGTTATGGCTGTAACAGCAGTAACCCTGTCTCTCTCTTGATCCCAAATTTAAGTTATCCTCCAGGAAGTACACTAGCCTCATGGTTGGTTAATGGTTAGGTTTAAATGCTATAAGCATGTTGTACTCCATATCAAGAGGTCTACGTTTAGCTCATTGGCCAGGATTTTTTGTCTAGACTTACACAGGTACTTACAGCAGTAATAAGCAGTTTCTTGTTGATAGCTAAACACTTCTCCAGACTTTCTTTTGCCTTAGCAGCAGCTTTCTACAGGGTTAGAAAATACAAGCGATTTTAATTTTGGGTTCAAGAACTGATCATCCACAGTACATGTGGGGGTCGACACATTGATTTAATTTTGACAGGTTATTATTCTGCAACCAATCAGATAGTAGAACACACAAGAGGGATAAGCAACTCCTTAATTAGGGTTTTGGGTTTACATATAATCATCTAACATATCTCTCTTCTTCTCTTCTTTGCATGCCAGATGAACTGAGTGTACAGTTTAAAGGATCTCATTTGTCATAATAAAATCTTGCTAGGTTCAAACATTGTGTGGCTCCAGAAAATATCCATACCCCCAATGCGAGGAGGGTCAGTTTTGGAAATTCTAGGGGAAAGGGAGATCTCAAGAGCCAAGAACTTTTTGAAAGAAAAAGGGGGGATGTTGCTGTACGTGAGGGGGGGGGGGGTTTTCAAACCAAAAATCCCTCTATGGGAGGGGTATGAATATTTTCTGGAACAACAACGTCATTTAAAACTGAGTACCTGTTGAATATCAAGCTGGTTTTTGTAGTCCTCAACAAGCTTTAGGAAATTTTAAAAACAGAAAAAACCAACACAGGTAATATTTAGTAGCTTAAATTACCAAGGAATTGATAAATAAATGTGTTTGCTAATAAGTGTCAAATCTATACACATGTACATGTATATTGTATGTACATCTATTGTTGTACTAGTATTACATGAAAAATGGAAAAAATGTTGATTGCTAACTAAAATTACTGGTAATATTGATGGTAAAAGGGTCAAACTGACATAATTGTGTACTGTATGTACAATCATGTGTTTTTTAAGGACTAAAATTGCAAAACAATGCCAAAACCTTAAGATGAATTTTATTTGAAATATCTGGCTATTAAATATCTCTTTTACTGTCCCCTTGTTTATAGATCGTCTTCATTTGCATACTAGGGGCTTTTTTTTTCTATCTACATTATTTAATCTTGTAACGTCGCTTAATTAATTCATTTATTGTTAGTATTGATAGACTATGATTCATATTACCCTTTCAAGATCTTCAATCTTGCTTTCCTTTTCTTGGGAAGAAGCCACTCCTGATGAAAAGAATGTCTCCATTTCCTGTTCACAATAATTTAAGAAATTAATATTTAGGTTTAGTTTACATGCAAATTTTATTGGTTCTGAATCTCATTACAGTTGATCAAGAGAAATATTCAATTCTAGTAGAGTTTATACCCTTAGGCTGTCAGTTGTCAGGATTGTCTGTAAAAAATAAGACAGAAGACAAATTGAATTAATTATTTGTCATAAAAAACAAAACACATTGAAAGGTTTGACTTTAGTGCAGTAGTGTCCGTTTTCAATCCACTACACACCTGGGACATACCTTCTCGTCACGAAATCAGAAGGCCATAAGCAATCATGTGGTACAAGAGATAGGTTTCCCCTGATACATGTTATCATTAATTAATGTACATCTATTTGAGAATCTTGAAAATGAATTGTGCAGCCTGGGAAACAAACCTGTGTTGATTCGTGAACAAATATTCCAGCAGAATCAATCCCATCAGATCCGTCTGACTCAGATTCAGGTGGACAAGCTTTGATTTTTAATGGACAGGGCAATGTAGAGCTACTATCTGCTTGGAACTGAAAGTAGAAGAGTTCCGAATTTCACTTAATAACCAGAACTGAGCTACACTTAACAAGCAATCACAGTTTACGATTTAAGTTACTGGTGTTAATTAGAAGAGTCCTAGGATGCGCAATGGTTGCCCTCTCTTGGAGAAAGTCAGCAAAACAAAAGCTCTTGCTCTGAGTTACATTGCATTGTGAAAAACAGCATTAAAGTGGCTAGAAAAACATCCTCTCCACTTCTCAAGGACTGCCAATTAGATTTTTCTGTGGGTGGGTTAGTCAACTTTCCCTGCTAACTGGTATGATGGGCAAAGGTGAAGGCAAGCAATCTGGCAATTAATTAATTAATTAATTAAGCTTACATAAGCACTACATTACAGTATTCCAAACAGTGTGAAGAGAAATAAAATTAAAAAATACATGTACCTGAGATGTAAATGATGGTAAGAGATTCTGTGGACTTCGACGTGCAGGGGAACTTTCATTCTGTGATAAGCGACAAAAATATTAGCTTATGTATCTATAGACTTATTAGATAAAATAAATTAATTATGTCAAAGTAAATAAATAAAAAAATATAGATAAATAGATTGGAATTTGGCAGTGGCGCATTCCGCATCTTCGTCCTGACACTGTTTCTGGGTCAAACTGGTATTTGGAATATTGGTTTTTGTGGAGAAAGAAATTTAATAAGAGAAGTTCTCAGAGAGAAACCCTCAGGGCAAAGTGAGAATCAACAACAAATTCAACCACTTGCCCTGTGACCCCAGATCCAGGATTAACATGCTAGTGGGCCATATCAGTGGGAGGTCAGCGCTCTATTACCACTACGTCATCCTTGCCACAAAAGAAACATGTCATATTCTTATAGAACAAAAACATACAATACAAAATACCTTGAAATACTCAGTGATTTTATTGCTCGCTTCTGAGCGTCCACTTTTACTGAGAATACCTTCAAAAGAAAAGCAACTCCACATTTCAAACTCTTAACAGGTGACCATTTCAATGGAAGCTATCACTGACATGTAACTACATGTGTCTAATTATCATTTAGAATTTTGTTGCCATCTTCTTTTTTGTGGTTAAAGGATGTAAAGTTCTTTACCAGGAGAGTCTCCATCCACAGCTGCTTTTCGTTTCCTTCCAGAATGCTTCTCTGTTCTCTGGCCAGGTGTAGTGCTCTGTGAAACAAAACAAAAAAGAAAAAAAAACTAGTTTGTTACCTCAGCAAGGAGAGTGCCAGTCTGATAAGCAGGAGGAGATGTGAGGGAATGGTTCAAATCCAGTACAAACCAATGACATTCATATCAATCTGGGCTAACATGTAAGTGACAGATGGCCTCTTCATACGAAGTTGGTAGCTACATGTGCTGGCCCCATTGGTGGACAAAATTAATTTTGTCCTTCTGTTCTCCATCCCACCTGGCGATGAACGGCAGACAAAGAGATGAGGGCAGACAGAGTGAGCTGACCTGGAAGAGCTAATGAGGAAAGTGAAAGGCAGGCAGCAGTGGTCTCTGGTAGTGACTGTACAAGCCCAAGGGCATGAAGAGGATTGGGTATTGAGTGAGTTCTCCATAACTGAAATTGGTTCGCATGCAGAAGAATCTCTTTCTACATCTGCAGAACTGTATCCAACAATTTCAGGAGTGGACACATGAGTGAGAAGTGTTGTACAAAATTCTCTACTGTTTGTCCAGAGTTTTAGGCAAGTTAGTGTGTTATGAAAGTGAAATTTGAAATGCTTTGAATACTTTCAATTGATACCTCAAATTCTTTATCACTTCCCACAGAGGAGATACTGGCATTGCTCTGTTGAGAATCTTGATTGATACTCTAAAAGAAAATATCAAAAATAAAGAATGGTAATCTTTCATGCAAGGAATTAAACTAAACCGTACCAACAACAAGAATACAGTATAGATAAATAATAAAATCTACAGCAGCCTTGAGTGTTATTGACTGTAATAGTCCCTATATATGGTTTGCAGAAGAGGTGCACCATATGATTTTACGATAACTGCAACAATTCTTGCGTGTTCATTGGCTAATTTTCATTGTCAATAAGCGAACAGACACATGAATTTATAATTTATGCGATGTAGCAATGAGCGAGAGCAGACACTCAAATAGTTTGTTATTGTAAAAAACAAATTGGTGTCCATTTTTCATGCCTCTGTCCTGTTATTGACAAAGTAGTCTGCAGATCTACTTGGCTATCGCCTCGTGGATCCACAGCTACTTTGACAATATTATGACAAAATTCATGATCAATGACAGGACAGATATGCATGAAAAACTGATGTCAATTTGTTACTTTGAATACAGATTCTTATCAAAGCTTTTTTCTAAATGAGATTCTTTGTTCTTTTTGTGTACATTCCTTAACAGGGATGACCTGGTCAGGATGAGTGATCCAAGATCACTTGGATCATGGTGCATCAAAAGGGTCGATGACTCCACTCTGGTCGAGGGTTCAATTGGCTCCTTTTGATGCACCATGATCGAAGTGATCTTGAATCACTGATCCTGACCTGGATCAATGAACACACCCTGACAATCCCCTGAAAAAATTGAGTTTTTTTGAAAATGGTTTTCTGTAAGGATCTTTTAGACAAGATCAACAAAGAGATAAATTAACAATCGTTGGTCATGAGTAATCAAGACCTTCTTTGCCTCTCACACCCATGATATATAAACTAATAAATAAGCGTACAAAATTTACATATAATGATTGCAAGGTCTGCTAAGTTGAGACAAAGTTGAGTTTTACACTTTAATTAATAGTTTGAAAACGGCAAATAAATTTGTTAAAAACTGGAGATTTTGGCTAAATTAAAAATGACCGCCCAACATATTTGATTGATTACTAGTAAACACAATATCGGAAGTCGCATATTAATACGTGAATTCTGCACAAACCCGTGGAGTGGAGAATCTTGCTTCCAACAACTCTCGTTTTTGCGGGTCCAAAGCTTCAAGCCGCGAAAAATGGATTTCGCCCTCAACGTTCCGCGCTTCACTGGCTGTTGCCACTAAAAGGAAATATCGAACATAAGAATGCAAAGGCTTCTAGCATTTCCTGCTCTCAAATTGATCACAACCAAGAAATACGTATAGTTCCCTGAGCACACGAGTTTAACACCGCACTCACTTGAATTTTTCTGACTCATCTGCGAGGAAGTCGTGCTGTGTTCGAGCTGCAACTGAAACCCAGGGCTAGCTATTTCAGGGCCGCAAGGCTCATCCATACTTCAGACTACTATTCAACGTACAAAGACGAACAAAAATCATGGTGTGATTGTTCGAATTTGGCTACGGATTCATCATTTGTGCTGTGTATCTCCCTCGAGGCACCGAAAGACACTTGAACAGAGGCCTGGCTACCAAGCCTAATCGGTATCAGAGGGTAGTACAGAGGAATGTGCACCAATGGGGAAGGAACTGAAATACAGTTGGCTAGCCTGAGGATGAGGCAAATGGCGATTGGCTACACTAATTTGTACTGTGCGACGGATAATTCTGCGTCAATCACAAACTGGCACTAAAATAAGATGCCCTCTCTATCTTTTCTCTCCTTGGCAACAGTTAAGAAATTTAAGTTTCGTAGAGTGTTTCACCTTTTACCATAATAAAGGACTTTGAATTGTAATGAATACAAAATGAGACCTAAAAAACAGCTGAATCAAAAGGCCACTAGGGGAGAGGTTCTCTTGAATAAATTTTATTGTATAGGCTTGACAATGGCTTGGAGAAGGAAATGGATCCAAAAATGAAAAGAGAAAAGGAAGAGAAAAACTATACAAAGGGCTGAAATGGATATTGCTGTGCTACAGCATTGTCAGAGTGGAAAAGGGAATAGCTAAGACCAAGGCAAAATGGTTAAAGGCATCACTCAACGGGTCAACAAATGAAAGAACAAAATGAGTTTGTTTAATAATCCAGTTATCCAGTTAAGAAAGCCGCTGTAGTGCATTCAAATAAACAAAGGCTCCTAACTAATTTTGACCAGTTACATATAAACCCATAAGTACATTTTCAAAACAATTGCATTAGGGGATCACACCAGATGTTTTTTTTAATGGTAGGGATCTGCCTTGTTCAAAAGTGCGGGTAACAGGAAGGTGTGGCAGTTCCACATGCACTGCGGTGTAAGATTCCTGTAACCCCTGGTAGCGAGTCAGCGAAATACTGTGTGCACAGCTAGTCCCTCGATATAGCTCTCTTAGTGGCAAATAAATGCTGGTGACAGTGTTTTAAATATCACTTTTATTTAGTACTTTTAAAAAATACTTTATCTACAGTTGCTATTGAACATTACAAGCAGGAGCAGAGCTTAGCAGGATGTGGCAGGGGGGGGGGGGGGGTTCAGGAATGATGTTCTCCTAAAAGCTGCTTATTGAATGAACCTCCCTTCCTTGAAGATTCAGGGTTGGTAAACTCAAGAGTAGATGGCATTTGCAGTTTCATTCAATGAACAAGGGAAGCACAAGAATTCTCCATGCAGGCTATAGACTGCCATTACCATGTCCTGGTGGTTTTGTAAACAGTTGAATCTCGAACTGTACTGTCACTACATAAAAAGACCACCTAGAAACAAAGAAAAACAAACATGCTTTATTTGTTTACTTAATGTACATGTACAATAATTACTTTGGTTTATAGCTGTTTGAGCTCTGGCCAAATCATCATGATCAACATTGTCATCATCAGCATCATTGCTTTATTTAGTAATGCAAGTTACAAAATTGGCAGCCAATGAGGCTGATGTGGACCTTCAATTAACTAATAAAATGTAATATAATAAATAAAATAATATACCCCATAATATCGAAAATGGAGACACAACAACCTGCAAGCCTTCAACTTATATGCCAACTTCAATTTGTTTGGTCGGGACTCTGAGTGTGGTGTGGTTTTAGTTGCAGAAAATTAACTAATGAGACAAATGCCCTCTGTTCTTATCTGAGTTCACTACGATCAAGATCAAATTTGTGTGCAACATGACACAAGTTTTTACCGTTTAGCCACGCAATATACACTGTATGCAAGTCAACTGCTAGAAATTTGAGAAGGGGAAGCGTGGAACTTCAAAGATTATGACACAGCAACTTTCACTTGAAAACATCAGCCAGGGAACTTTGTTATTACCCAATTCCAAAACAGAACAAGAAGTCAGGAGCACACTGAATTATGACATGTTACTCTGTCACCAGCAAAACAAATGCTGTTGCTGGTCACCAATCTCAGTTTCAGTGTTTCAAAGTAAAAAAGTCCTTGTCTGTCTGAGTAAACTGCTTTTTTCACAGACGTGTGACATTGTAATGCAATAGGCCTGAATCTTGATGTCTTTAAATATGCTTAGGGAACTCACACTCAATGTGACCTCTTTTGGTTTAGTCTCCTAAGCCTAGGAGTATACCACACTAAAATTGGCCTATTTGCACAAATTCTTAAATTGCTATTGAGTAGCTCAAATGGTAAGAGAATTTCCTCACTGTCACTGAGTAGTTCATATCAGAATTCAATCATAAAATGCCACTTGTCAAACTGATCAAACTTATCCAACATTTTTTCGGGACTTGCTAACAGTAACATACCTGTGACCTCAATGCTTATGCCTGTGATATAACTACTTCTATCAGAAGCAAGGAATGTTATCACGTCAGCTATATCTGAAAGATATGTTAGTTATGATAGAGTTGTTGTCAGCCAGTGAAAAGAAAGACAACTTTTGGCACAAGACAGAGTGTAATTACCTTGTATTCACTTAACTCCAGATGTTTTGTTACACTCTGTCAGTGTGGTAAGTAAAATGCACCCAGCATTACAACTCCATACTTATTTTTGTTTAATCTTTTACAGACATAAAATGTGAATTGAAAGTGTGCTTGTTTAATTTGTTATTACTGGTAATATGAAGTGTACTTAAATGGCCTATTGGTCTTTAAGGAAAAATGTTCACAAATAAACAGCTAAAAAGTAAAACTGTATCTTAATAGACCACTCGTCCAGTGGTGCATTTCAGGGCCAATGATTCCAGATGATGTAACAAATAATGCAAATGAACATAGCATGGTTAAAAATCCCAACTGCCAAGGAGTTGAACTAGGGTCTACCAAGAAACAACTCCAGCTTAGTAGTTGGAGCAGGACTTGAACCCATGACCCCCAGATTTCAAGTCCGGCGCCCTAACCACTTGGCGCTGCGCTGGCTCCTCACAACAAACAGTTGATGAAGGCAGAAAAAGTGTTTTCTAAATTTATGCAGTGTCAAGCAGCAAAAATGTGAAAACACATGTCATGTCATTTTTACTGTCAAGTGATGAGTACAGTACACAAGTTGGATGCAATGAAAAGAACAATCACTCTGTGTCATGCTCCACAGTCCCCACTTTTGCTTTGCTTTAGATGCTCCTAACAAGTAAACTGCCCCTTCTGTGAGCTATTTAATAGAGAGTCTGTCGACAGGCTATATGCACTCCACTACTGAAACTTTACCTGATGGTTGGCCAAATCTCCCAAGGGGAATTTGCTTCTTTAACTGTCACAGAGAAAGAACAAAACAAGAGCATTACTAACAACAAAATGGTAGTTTAATGTAGGGTAATCCTATTAGAAAACTATATTGGGTGATGTTTGCCAGATTCTCTCAGTACAGATTGTGCTTACACCCTTAAGGCTGGTTTTCACTTACAACAGAGTCATAGTTGGAGTTGTAATCAGAAGCGTAAAGCGATACAGTCTGGTGAAAATCAAACTGATGGAGTTGGAACATAGATCCCACTTTTGACTCCATCACTTACGATCTAGTGAAAACTGCATTGTGGGAGTCGCAAGCAGAAGCACAAGAATAACCCAATCACAATGTTCAATTCCAGGCCTCTTGATTGGTTGATTCTTCTGCTTCTGCTTCTGACTCCAACACCTAGTTTTCACTGGATCATAAGTGATGGAGATGTAAACAGAATAGGAAGAAATGAAAATGTTCTGATTTTTCTGACTCCAATTCCGTCAAGCTTATGACTCCACTTACAGCTCTGTTTTTTGATTTTCACTTGGTGGTAAGCACTCTTATAACTCCGACTATGATTCCAACTCCAACTCCGTCGCTAGTGAAAGCCAGCCTTCAATGATTCCAGAATACCTACATGTACAGTCTATTATGCAGTTACCATGCAGTTATAGCAAAGCCTAGTTTATTTCTTGCCTTTTCTAAAACTTTTTCTGGAACATGGTCCGTCATTGGAGTGTGAATGAAGCCTGGTAAAATTGCATTGCATCTCACACCAAATCTACATGCATAAAAATTAACACATTAGAACGGTAAATTTTTAAGTGCTGATAACAGAATGTCAAAAAATAACAACAAATGACACACCTTCCAAGCTCCTTCGCACAGGTCCTTGTCAAACCTTCCACACCAGCTTTAGAGGCAGCGTAATTTGCCTGACCAAGATTTCCCATCTGGTAATTCAAAATTGATAAAGACATTAATTTCATATGAATATTTCAAACTTTATCATTACTAACCTTATATATTTCACTTAATGAATGAAGGTACATGTAGGAGGAATATGCCTGTATTTCCCAGCCAGGACAAAGACTATGAGTGAGTCACTGTGTGCTGGAGGCACACTGACCAAATTGTAAGTAGGTAACTTGTGCATGTGTAATGTTGAAATTTCTACAGCTCTACTCTGGTCATGTGTGCATTACATGCAGGCATCCATGCATCCATTCCCACCTCTGCATCCTCCTCTAGAGGAAGCAAGGATTGTGCTGTGGTGATGAACCCTTCCCTCAGTGCATGGGTCAGGTAGCAGCTCTCATAAGGTCTCACATAAATGGCTCGAAACCCTTTAAGGGAACAATTAGAACAAACAACAGAAACAATGCCCCAAGCCCTAAAACAATAACAGGTGCTACAATAATTAAACAATAAAAGCTTGCGAGAGCTATAAAATAACATATACCTTGCCTACAATACTGGCTAGATTAACAATAGAGCCATTTGTAACTTTTTCGCTGACCATCAGTTTGGCTACTGCTTGGGTCACAAGAAATGTTCCCTGAAATACAATGAAATATTACAAAACGATTTTCACTTTTTCAGTTATGTATTTTTTATTCATATATTATACCATGCTCTCCAAATATAGGAAGTGTACACATGATTTTTGGGGCATTTTAGTTTTCTTTGTTTTGGGGGCATTTGTAATAAAACAATAATTTCACTCACGCTTATTGGATATGACATGGCTATAACCTACCGAGTCCTATGCATCTTGTTGGTTATCTAGCTACCATTTCATATCCAATGCATGCTCAAGGAATAATAATTGTAAAAAAATTCTGTGGGTACTTTATTATACACTATATGCGATCATCTGGTCGACCAAGAACGTATCATATACATCTGACCATGACCACTCTGCTGAAGGGAGTTGGATAACAATAGTTTTGCTCACAATGCTTCTGACTTTTACCTTGAGATTCACTTCAATAACTTTGTCAAACTTTTCTTCATCCATCTTCAACAGGAAATCATCACTAGTGATACCAGCAGAGTTGACTAAAATACACGGTGGCTTCCTGTACTCACTGATAATACACTCCAGCACCTTTTGTACTTCCTCTCCCCTTGCCACATCTAACGAATAGTTGAGGTGCTTGTTGTCAGCATGTTTTGATAAGCTCTCAGTGGTTTCCTGTGCCCCTTCGTTGTTGAGATCTGTCACAACAATACTTGCTCCTTCTGCTGCTAATGCCTGGCATACAGCCCGGCCAATGCCGCTAGCACCACCTAGAATAATGTCAAGAGGATTCAACAATGGCTCAGATAGGATAGAAATATTAACAATTCTTTTTTAAATTAACCCCCCCCCCCCCCCCCCCCNGTAGTGTTACTGTCAGTTTGGAAAAATTCTTGTATTTCTTCCCATCGTTATTTTACCATGTTCCAAAACCACTAAAAGTTGGGATATGCCACTCTTGGGGGGTACTCCCATATAAAAAGGTAAAGGACAGGCTGTGGTGCTCGTTGGAAATTTTGAAAAGGGTCCCTAAGAGGTACCAAGACTTTGTTTTTGTGACTTGAATTTTTTTTCACCCCTATGAGGTACCAATTCTAAAACAACAATTAACTCCTGTTATAATTTTTTTGGCTAAATATCCTAAAAGGTATCTCAAAAGCTCCTGCATTGAACTTTTGGAGGCTTAACACCCTAAGAGATACCAAAAGCTCTTTTTTAACCGCTAAAAGGTACGACAAGCACCCCTGTTCTTTATATGTGGGAATCCCCCTATCCCCCTGGTTACCCCCCTTGTAATATGAAATTGTTATTTATAAATCTCAAATTTTCATGGTAGAAGAAGGCTAGAAACTAATCCTACGATTTCATTTAAATGAACTTTTGGTCGAGGTTTGATAAAACCTAAACATCTACTAATAAAATGTAATGTTAAAGAAATGGTTAAAAATCTCATATGCTAATTTTCCTCAAAAATTTCTTCAGAGGAGGTTCAAGGACGTTCTTCAGATGTTAAGCTTGCATACAAGAACAGTTGCACATACAGGAGAAACTTACTCAATATTCTGTAAATGTATTAATTTGAAATAGTTTATGAAGAAGGTTGGATTTTCAACGATATTGAATGCCACTTGGGAGAAGGATCCCAGGATCAAAATATATTAATCTGTACTGTAAGCATATGAGCCCCGATTACCACAATTGTCCTATATATGAAAAAATTCTATCTGCTCAGTGTTATCCTAGATAGATCCTCTTAGCTCTTACCAGTAACCAATGCTAAGCGCCCAGCTAAAAGTTTTCCTGTGGCCGCCATCTTTGGTGATTCCCAAGGTCGAGGCTTGGTGGCATAGTTTCCTAGTCATGTAAAAATCACTGCAATGTCTCTCATTTGCAGTTGCGGAAGTTGCTTTTGTTTGCAGAAAACTTTGACACGTCAAGCACATCAGGGCAAAAGGGCTTCTCTGTGATTGGCTAAATCCGTTCATTGCATGCTAATTTTGAATACAATATTAGAAACTATAATCGAAAGACTTTCCCTAGGCATTCGACAGTCAGCTGACGCGAACCAAAGGGAGATCGTCACCTACCTACCTTTAGTGTTCATTTCTTCAACTTCGCAAAAGATCTTATATCAGTCCAGGGATAGTTCCATTATGGTATTTACATTTTTTTGTGCTATTTTTCTATTACGGCAGATCAGGAACTCCGTTAATCTTTTTTGCGACTTGGAAAGCGCGATGAACTGACCAAGCGGTTTCACTCGTGCGCCCATGTTTGATTTTACATGGACAGTATAGAGTAATGTTATATCTATACCTGATTTTGCGCTCGCTTATTTTTCATCCGATTTTCATTTTGTTAAACCTCAGCGTGAATGTATATCTATACACGTCGGCCAGGCAGGATGTCAGATCGGCAACTCTTGCTGGGAGCTGTACTGTTTGGAGCATGGTATCCAGCCAGATGGACTGATGCCAAGCGATAAAACTCTAGGCTATGGGGATGATTCTTTCAACACGTTCTTCAGTGAAACTGGATCAGGAAAACACGTCCCTCGGGCAATCTTTGTTGACCTAGAGCCTACTGTTATAGGTGGGTCTACATGTAATTTTGCTTTCGTTCTTTCGAGCTGCGAACCTATTTTATTACAATTTCCTCATTGCGACTGAAGCCAAAAACAGTCTGTCAAATTTGTCATTTCAATTTCGTGCCGTTCAACAGAAAGAACTGAAGGCCATGACTTTTTTCAACCCAGATAGCAAACCTTTCATATTTCTGTTTTATTGAAAACGTTTTAGTCAATTCTGTATTTATTATGCATAGGAGCCCACAATGTATGATTAAACTAAAAACGATGCCCCTTCTCTTAAAAATAAGACAAGCTTTCTGCTACACACTTGAAAGTAATTTTAATGTAAAAATTCCCGATTTTATTTGAATATGATGAAATAATTATTTTTACACATGCTCTCACTATATGCGCTCACTGAAATGTGTTGCAAAGGCCATATTTTGTGTCAAGAGGTTCTTCACAATATTCCTTACCGTATTTATAATACAGTTCTGTTCAACTTTGCTTCAATGTCGCGCATACGTCAATTAATGACAATCCGCGATTTGATGTGCTTCTAGCTAGTTCGAGAAATGAACCATGCAATAAATATTCTAACATTTGGTGCTAAGCAGAGTTTAAATCTCGATAAGCTGTTTTTGGCTAGTATGTGTAATTATATATTTGTTCTGACTTAAATTTAAAAAAATATTCAAAATTCGAAAAACCTAAACAGCTTTATTAGAATATCGCCTCAAGGAACAATAACCGAAGTTTCCATGGAAGCCTATCTTTCACCAAAAAATTTTGCATTTGTAATTGAATATCAATTTCTTGAAAAAGAAGTGCCATACGCAACAAAATGTTTTGATTCAGTATACTAACGTTATCTTTATTTCTGTCTATTCTAAACTTTTGTGATCAAACATTAAAACACTTTTCAGCCACAATGATTTGAAAATGAAGCTCAGTACCCACTAAATCACACACACGAAGAACAAATGGGTAACAAAAGAAGTTCTATAAAACCAAACGCTAGACAGTAGTAACTTTGGATCATAGATGAACCCTTACCCGTCTTACCCCTTGCTCCAGCTAGGAGCTCTTAGGCAGGCCGTTTGACCACGCCCGACAACGTATGAGTTTTATTTATTCAGATCCCGTATGAGGATAATGATTTCTTGATCCATATTGTCCAAACAAGAAGCGATAAAGCTTGGATTTCACACTGTTACGTGATTATTTACAATGCCGTATTTCTCTTTTCCGTATTGTGAGAAATTTAAGTTGCACAAAAATATCATAGCAAGACAAATGAGTATAGCTCTAGATATGAAACGCTGCATGCTACATGCACTAACGCGCGCGTTAGTGCATTTATGCCTCACTGTCTATAGAGTGCGCTTTTTATGAACTGCCCATATGTGATAATGTAAGATCAGCTTACAGCAAGTCCAGCCGAGTTAAATCTTCACACCAGAAAGTTTGACTGGCTATGCGAACCCTGTTGATTCAATTCATGAGACGTCCTTAAAACAATTAACATGCTATTGATAGTAGATCTGTTAGAAAAGTCCACAGGGGCGGCTTTGAAAGGAAAGGAAACGCGAAAAATCAAGCATTTTCCTTGTTTTCCTCCGCCTTATTCGTTACAATAATCTGGGGAAATGAGTCTAAAGTTTGGCTTGGCGCTAGAACCTAGTCTCCTGTTCACCTTTTTTGTTCGGTTTGTAGATGAAGTTCGCACTGGGACCTATCGACAGTTATTCCACCCTGACCAGCTGTTTACAGGCAAGGAAGACGCTGCTAATAACTATGCTCGTGGCCACTACACTGTCGGCAAGGAACACATCGACAATGTGTTGGATAAAACCAGGAAAATGGTAAATCTGTTTTCTGTTTAATTTTGTAATTTTTGTTCTTACTGTCACCTCTTCCTCCTTTCCGGTTTCGTCAGTCTTCTTTGTCTTCTCTGAGCGGCAAGACCCTAATTTCTGTTCGCTTTTGAGATCAGACTTGGTTGGGCGAGCGTCCCACCACGCCCTACTTCGTCGATATATTTGCTCTCGCTCCAATTTGCGCGCGGCCAGAATGCTGCAAAAGCTGTACGTTCGATTCGTACGGTAACAATTGCTACTGAGGTTACTCAGTTTTATGATATGTACGGTCAGAATTCTGGTTTTTATCATCTTTTTCGTTTGTTCCTTCAGGCCGACCAGTGCAGTGGCCTTCAAGGCTTCTTGATCTTTCATTCCTTTGGGGGTGGTACAGGATCTGGCTTCACCTCCCTCCTCATGGAGCGCCTTTCTGTTGACTACGGCAAGAAGTCCAAACTTCAATTTGCCATCTACCCAGCACCTCAGGTCTCTACAGCTGTGGTTGAGCCCTACAACTCCATCCTGACTACCCACACCACCCTGGAGCATTCCGACTGCGCATTCATGGTTGATAACGAGGCTATTTATGACATCTGTCGTCGGAACCTCGATATCGAGCGGCCGACGTACACCAATCTGAACCGTCTGATTGGTCAGATTGTGTCGTCAATCACTGCCTCGCTTCGGTTTGATGGTGCCTTGAATGTGGACCTCACGGAATTTCAGGTTGGTTCACGTATTCAGTGACACAAAGACAAAGAAATAGCTAAAATTCGCTCTCTATTGCGTAAGAATAAATGGCCTACATCGGCTTGTCTGTATTCATTTACAGTTTACCAACGGCGCGGTCCACACTACACCGGAGGATCAATTTGAAAACGGAGGTTTCACTCCCGGGTTTCATTCCGAAAACGCATCAAATGTTTTCCGTCCACACTACGCCGGAGGAATTAAAAAAAAACCGCAACAATCACCGGTCTTTTTGGATTTGTGTTTGGGCAAAACTTGGTCAGGAAAATCACATGACTATCGTGACTACATCTTTTTCGAAAAGCTCCGTTTTCAAAAAGGTTTTCTGTCCGGACACAAAAATGGCGTTTCAAATTCCTCCGGTTTGAAGCGCGTTTTCGAAAAGCTCAATTTTCGTGACGGATTATTGTGGACGGTAGGCCAAACTGTAGAAATATAAAGCTTCGCTTTAAAATTTCTCCGGCGTAGTGGGGACGCTGCCAAAAAACTGGGGCGAGACGCGACTAGATTTCACGCTAAGCCATTCACGTTGTTTAAAAACTTAAAATTCGCGGTCGCATTCTAGTGAACGGAGACGATATGAGAGTTTTGGAGATCAAACTATATTTTACTTTGGGTAATTGTGATAGTTTAGATGTTTATCTCAACGGGTAGAGTGAAAGATATATTTTTTTTACAGTTTTAGATACTCACCGAGAACAGATGTTTTTGTCGCGTAGCATTGATGGCCAACTGGCGACTAATCTTTTTAAAAGAAATTTTCGTTAAGTCTATCCCATTAAAATGCCATTTGCTCAATGGGAATTTAAGAAGTATGAGATAGCCGTTGGCGAGCTTTTAAGACTAAGGGACATGCTTATTTTAAATCCAGTAAAATTTGGCTTTTAACACTGATGTAATCGGCAGATACTTAGCAATTGATAGATAAATATCAGCATTAGGCCTTAATTCTCATCTACTTCAATTTTTTCCATCACACTCATATATGAAATGAAATACATTTTGTGTTTCGAAATAACGTTGTTGCGTGTAATATATTCAGGCGGAGTTTTAATCTGCGAGCAGCCTGTTATGCCAGACAAAAATCAAATGAAAATAACGCAGACAATACAGTAATAGCCCACATATAAGAAACTGGGTTTTAAGAACCTGTAAGGCTAAAATTTTCATTTTAAGCCCCCTCCACATAAGAACCTATTGAGGCTAAAATTTTAAGTTAGGTTCTTATCAGTGGAGCTGCTGTAAAGGTGTGTAGGTAGAAACTGCTGAATTAAGATCATCATCTTTTTAAAAGTAACTTGACATAACTTTTTTTTTCTTTCAAGCTCATTGCTTGAACTTGTTATGAATTTGGTATCAACATGAGTTTCTTTCTTATGTTTTGTTTAAGACATATACTGTACGTACATGCATTGAGCTGCCTATAGGCATTGCTCTATGGTACAAATAAATGATTTATACTGTATTATGAGATGATATTTATAATACATATATATAGTATATTCAGATGAAATTCATATGAAAATATAAGAACCTATTTTAAGAACCTTGGTAGCCTAAATTTGCTTTAAGTACCTGTTAAGAGGACAGTTCCGAAGTGGCGTGATGCGCGAATATATAGCGCGCGCGCGCACGGAAACATTTTAAATTTAAGTTAAGCGTACGTTAATTGCGCGTACGAATTTAAGTTGCGTGGACGTTTATCGGCAGAGTTTTAGACAGTTTTCAATGAGCAGTTAGGCTAAATTGAAAAATTCAGGTTCTTATACGTGGGCTACTGCTGTATTATTGTATCCTTGAATCCCTGATTCGCGAAAACTGATGATTTCTGCCGTTTCCAATATTGTATACAAGCTACCCGAAGAAAAATTGAAACACTTTATTCAAGTATCGAAATTTTTAGCACTGCTGTGCTAATTTGGGACACTGAACTAAGGAAACAAATATTGAAAATAGAAGATTATTATCGAGTAATGAACAATTATAACTACCTTTATGTGTTCTTTGAATGAAAAAGAAATGTATTTGTTTTTTTCAATTTAGACCAACTTGGTACCGTATCCTCGAATTCACTTCCCTCTCGCTACATACGCCCCTGTCATCTCCGCCGAGAAAGCTTACCACGAGCAACTGAGCGTTGCTGAGATCACGAGTGCATGCTTTGAACCAGCCAATCAGATGGTAAAATGCGATCCACGTCACGGCAAATACATGGCTTGTTGTCTGTTGTTCCGCGGGGACGTGGTACCGAAGGATGTGAACGCCGCTATTGCTAGCATCAAGACGAAAAGGACAATTCAGTTTGTCGATTGGTGTCCCACTGGATTCAAGGTAATGAATTATTTCATTCGTCCTGTTATTGGTACTCGATTCTGTAAGGGTGGGTTAAGTGTACATCGGGAAAAAGTGAGGGCATACCGCGCCGGAGCTTATCATAGTCTCTGGAGTGTGAATCGACTAGGGGTATTTCTACTCACTCCCCCTGGGATGGAATGCTAGTCCATCGTAGGTTTTTTCCCCCGCATAAAATTTGCTACTTTCCCTTTATAATTAATGCATCTGCGCTGTAGCGTAGAGTCTTGTCGAAGAACAAAACAGTCACTCCAGCCAGGTAACCAAGAGGCCCCCCTCCCCTACTTTCTGCCGCTAACAAGTCTTCTTTCTTTCTAAAACAAAATAAAACAGGTTGGAATCAACTACCAGCCTCCCACAGTTGTTCCTGGCGGTGACCTGGCCAAGGTTCAACGTGCTGTGTGTATGTTGAGTAACACCACAGCCATTGCTGAGGCCTGGGCCCGTCTGGATCACAAGTTTGATCTGATGTACGCCAAGCGTGCTTTTGTCCACTGGTATGTGGGTGAGGGCATGGAGGAAGGAGAGTTCTCTGAGGCTCGTGAAGATTTGGCTGCCCTGGAGAAGGATTATGAAGAAGTTGGCGTGGATTCGCAGGAAGATGACGAAGAAGGAGACGAATATTAAACACTGGAATGAAGCGAACTGTGTCTTAGCGAGGGGAAGAAAATTTTCTTAGTTAGTACATCAATGCTAGTTAATATAACAACGAATAGATTCAGTAACATGCATTTGCATTGAAATAAAGAAATGAAAACATGTTTTGTGTCCCACGTTGCACACAATAAAAACGAATTGATTTAATTTGTCACGGTTTTTCTCGTTATAGGGTGTCCAATCTTATTAAGTTTGGCTTGTGCTACTGATGGCCGCTTAAAACGTTTGACAATTTTCTTTTCCGGGGGGGGGAAGGGCCCTTAAGACTAACTTTTTAATTTTTTCAACGCACTTGGAGATTGGCGCAACCTCGTTCCCAAGGCTTTTCTCATTTTCTACGGAAACGCGGCCTTGGGAATCAGGTTGAGAGGGGGGCTGGGTTCAACGCATAGACCTCTGCAACTTGAAAACCCAATAGTCACAAAAGATGACACGCTATGGATCAGCGATCTATATGACATTTTTTAGAAAACGTTTTAGCTGAAATCTTTCTGATGGTGGAAACCGGCCGTAAGAAATACACGTTTTACCAAAAAACACAGATATTTCAGGTAGTAACTTTTACCGCACCCATATTTCGAATTAGCCCAAACAGAGCCGTGTCTACTGTAGGCTGCGATATCAAATTACTGATCATGACCTGATATGGCTACCCTTTGATGGACATTTGGCTGAATTTGGGAACGGTAAATATCCAATCGTTTTTTTTTTGATAAGCTTCAGAGGCATATCAGGTTCGTTTGGTCTCGCCGTGGATATTTTGACTTGACTACGTCTCGTCAAAATATCCCCCGGGGTATACTCTCAGAACAATTTGTGGGGGTGTGCGGCCCGCTTCCCAAAACCATCACTCTATTTATGACCAAAGTCTATGATTTTTTTCCCCTACCCTATTTATGACCTGACCAAGAATTCGATACCATATTTATGACCGTTGCAGCTGGCACAGTTGCCCTATAAACATATTTTTTGAAGGGCTTTTGTTGATGGTCTTATCGGCAATGACGAAAAGTAGCATCTTCTAAACAACATACCCAATTCAAGACTAGAGCACAAACGCCATACCCTATTTAAGACCAAAATGGCCAAAATCGATACCCTATTTATGACCAAAACGGCTGAAAAACCATACCCTTTGGGGCCGCACATACCTATATATAGCCAAATAAGGGCGCTCCCCCGCCTCGGGTAAAATACGAAGCGTGGCTCGACCAAACTCGCCTGATATGCCACCGAAACGTACCAAAACGGTACGATTAGGTATATATAGCATTCATGAACTTTTGAGCGAGACAAATGGGTGTGCTAACGAAACCTAAGATCAGCACTATAACCAAAACTATCTCAATATAGCGCGACACAAAAATGTGCTTTATACAAAGCCAGTTCTACTAGTATTTCAACAAGTTACTCGAAGTTCCGGCCTTTTTCGGCAATAGTACGTTATTATGTTTGTAGACAAAAAGTCTTGAAGTGTCTCTGCCCCTTCTTGAAAATCTGACCTGGTAGCCAAAGCTCATGTACTATCACAACATTTATTTTTACTATCACAATATTGTGATAGTAAAAGGCCTTAAAAGGCCTTTGCTATCCCAGTTTTCCAATTAATAGGCTCTTGATGTCAACCTAGGACATCTCTCGGTATATCAGCTGCCATTTGAAATTTACGGAACTCAAAAACACGACATTCTATGGGTAGAATGATAGATAATTAAATCAACAGATGACAGCTTAAAACAATGCCCCTGCCGTCTGTGTACAATGGAACTATTCCAGAGAGGCAATGAAATTGTTCTCAGTTTTTCATCTACGTCAGGGATGACGCATTTTGAATAACTTTCAAGTTCACTGGTCACGAGTTGCTTGATCCATAGACCAACTTAATCTTTCTAAGCCTCGTGAATACCCCTTTGGTCTATTATCATTCTTTGGGGTTTTCATAAATTACTAAGCTGTTGTTTGTGAGTTTCTTTCGGCTTGAAAGCTCTGAATTCTTCGTCATTCGCTGATTTCATATTTCGCATTGAATCATCCTAGTCAAGCACTTAATCACCCCCACCGGAAAGAAATGGTTCAGTTACAATATACTAGTGTGCATGCAGTGCTATTACTACGACGTCATAACACGCTTTATTTATCGTTATACAGTAGAATATGCTAAATTATCCTCAAAATGGCGAATGGAATGTATGGGTTTGTTTATAAGCTGGTGTGCAGTTTTCTGTGCACCACTATTGTGGCTGAAAAATAGTCTCGCTGACACAGCAGAGAGATTCCCATCGATTTGTAATTATTAGACAAAAATCAAATTTTTTGGACTCTGAACTTTCAAGAAACTGAGCAATACGAAGTTATGTGAACATTAACCCTTTGCTATTATACTTTCAGTGGCAATGGGACGCCAGAAAACTGGCCTCACTCAATATATTGCGGCCGAAAATAAAGTCTGTACACCCGAATTTTGTGTAAGCATGTGTACGTGGTTCGGAATTATAGGTATAAAAGGAATGAACAACGAAGGCATCAGAGTGAATTGAAGCAGAGCAAGGCTAGCTTCTGAAAGAAGACTGTAGAAAGAGTGCCTTGCATTCCATGAGATAAAAGCAATGAGATACCTCGTTGATCTTCTAAATTTTCGTGATGAAATAAATTAAACTTTTAATAATATATTTGCTAAAATTTCGAATTCATTAAAAGTTAATTAACCCTTATCAGTATTGTAACCATTTTAACAGACCTTAATACCGTTTTAGAGCTATAAAGTATAACTCTGACAACATTTCTTAAACTCCCTTTGAGAAAATTGTTATCATAAATGTATTAATACTGTACATAGTGATATCAACTTGTACCTCAGCATCTAGCACATTAACCTTATGTTAAAGCCACACATTTGAAGTTTGGACTTTTCTTTCTGTTTTGCTATTTAACTTTCCAGGGTGTAATTGATTTTCTTTAATCGGTATAATTCTAACTTCAGAGGATCAGATCACGTGGGTTACTGAAGTAACTTTTTAATTTAAACTTTCCGTGTTGACAAGCTCCATCCGCCCACGCGTGAATCTATCAAACCAGTGCTAAGTAAGGGCTAAGTAAGTTCAAGTATTTTTTCCTGGTTTGGTTGCAGGCGCTAGAGAGAGTCGGGAACAATAAGGATTCCATTCTCTCTAAAAGCTTTCACACCAACCTTGTGTTATTTTAACAGACAAACTGCCACGTTTACAAATTATGGTAAACACATGTATTGGGTCTGTCGCCAGAATCACGGAATATTCACGGGCAATTACTTATATAGTTTGCTAAGGGCCCTCTTATCTCTGGAAGCCCATTGTGAAGCCACTAGTAACAATAGAACTGGGCCAATATTTTGCGCGTGAATACGCGAACTGCACAAAGCGTAGCTGACTGATCCACTGCCCCTTGCATCGTGTGGTATCAAGCTCACGGAGGAATCTTCAGTCTAAAAGAGCCGGTAAGAAACCTAACGTCATTTTTTGGGTAGTTCTACTACTTTAACATCCTTGTCCATGGGGCTATCGCCAAATTATACAAGTATTGCTCATAGTACAGGAAAGAGAAAACCATTTATTCCTGTAAATTTGTAAATACTTGTCTGGTATTGAATCACGAAATTTAGCTGAACCACATGGTGCCCCCTTACACCGGGAATCCTACCATACACTTTCATGCTCGTTTTCGCCGTTCTAGCACCCGCGGTATCTTCAATTCGTCACTTAAAACGTGAATTTTCAGGTTACAGTAAGTCTGACCGGTTTTCCTTTTGTGCGCGTGTGCGTTTTTCTTTTTGTTTAATTTTGCATATTGATCAGAACTAGAAGCAAATTATTGGCGTTATTATTGATCAACTGGAAGAACCGCGTGAGCAGAGCAGGATTGAGTGTACGTGTCGAGTATTTTTAGAAGCACGCACGTGTCACAAGAATGCCCTTCCCTCCCCTCCCTGTCAAGGTTTTGACGTATATAAACTAATCGTTTCGGAAGTCGCCGGCTGGTTTTGAAGTCTGTTTTAGTTTTGTCATGTTTTTATTTTAGCGAGTGAGTTTCGACCATGGCAAGTACTGAAGCCAAAGAGATTGGCGAAGGCTTTGAAAATCCCATGGAAATACAAGCGCCATCGAGCAAACCTTCGGCAGCTTCGAGCGATGTTCCTTCGCTGAGGTTCTGCGTTAACCAAGTGAATTTAGATCCCAGTGGAGATGATGTACTCGATCCGAGCCCAAGAATGACTTTTCCTGAAACACCAACGCCAAGCGGTCCTCTTTCTACGCACGATGCCGTGGATGCGACGATCGGCTACGCAACACACGATGCAGTCCCTTTGACCGTGTTTTACCGAAACGAAAACTCGCAGTCCAACTCCACAAAAAAATCGCGCCCGACACTTCAAGAATTGAGGAAAGGTTTCGAAGAAGACCACGAGCAACAGGTATAGAACCTATTTCCTGTGTTATATTACGTCGCAAGCTTAGTAATAATTATTGGCCGGAGATTGTGAAGAATTTTTCTCGTTACGCACACTTTACAGTAAAACAGAGCGAGAGCTCTTAACTTATATTTCGCGCGCGAAGATTGGAAGGATAAAAGCGTATAAATGTCTGATTTACATATCTCTGTATTGCGTGAAATTATTTGTAGCGTAAAAAAGAATATTGCTTGTGAATTTTTATTTTGCCTTTATTTGATATTTTCGTCGAATTCAAAAGCCCTCGGCGAACATCGAGGACATCGAGCAATTGTCATGAATCCATCATGTGCCGTTGTCAAGACCAATACTCTCTCAGTCGCTTATATCTTGTGGTTGCACTGTAGCTATATCACCTTGGTTGTTTATTCATGATATATTCATGATATACAGTGCTATATTTTTTAAATAAATTCCAGTACTCTTTTTAGCTAAAATACAGCATAATGAACCCACAGAAAACCGGTTTTCGGAAAAAAAAAAAAACTTGCTATCAGCTTTATTCAAAATACATGTAATCGGGCTTAAAAAATTGTAAGAACGTCGTGTTAACGCTAATCGTGTCAACGAGCAAGGAAGTTGCAAGGAATGTAAACTTATATGTTTCTTCCATTTGAAATTTCAATAGGGGTGACACCTTCCGATATCTTGACTGCTTTTATAATTCTGATCTTCACACATATCTCTGATGTTTTTTTTTTTCTCAAATATTTGAACTTGTTCTATTTAATACACTTAAATTAGACTACAATGCAAAATAATTATTACTGATGTGTAATTAATTCATCAATTTAATTACAGACCATACTTGAAAGCTTGTTGAAATGGACTCATTAATTCAAACTGATGTTAAAATTTCCAAATTCCCAAGTGATCATTTCCACAGAACCAGTGGTGCATCCAGGGGAGGGACCTGGGGGGCCTGCCCCCCCTTATTTTGGGTAGAAAAAGAAAAAATCTCGGAAGGAAGAAAAGCCAGCAGGGCAAGAAAACCCGGACCTCTCCCTTAGCTCAAAACCTGGATCCGCCACTGAGAACAGTCGTAATGAGTTATAATTCCAAGTTCCAATCCAGGGCTCGGAAAAAGTCTCAGGCTTGCAGAAAAGTAATAATGCAAGTCTTGATAGATTCACATGATGGGGTCAGTTCACAATTTATTTAGGCTTGAAGATTAACCATACTAAAACTGATCACGAGGAAGTATATATGTGGAGTGGTTCATGCAGACCCCCCTGGGATTAAAATGGAAAAACAGTGTTCAAGCTCTTTGGAAAGTATTCACCTATCATGAAACCAATCATTTACAGAAAAACTGCTATGAGAAATTAAAATACAGCACTAAGGGTGTCATTTTGTTTCTTTTGTGATGCACATTTGTGGTGCAAGTTTCAAGAACACTAGTGCTTCAATATTTCCAGAGATATCGTTTATTCAGTATTTTACACTTTTTAGTTGCAAACCTTATGACGTCATCACTGATCTAATTTGCAAAATAGAAAAACGTCAATATCTCTGAAACGAAAAAAGATATTTCAAAAAGAAAAACACCATTCTTCAGTACAATGTATTTTGAAAGGCCTTTCAAACAAGTGGAAATTATTTTTCATATCATATACACTTTAATAGATCTTCAAACTCATGTTAAATTGTCAAGATTTACTTGACTTCAAAGAATATTTTCAGATGATTTGCTCAGTTGGAAAGCTTATATCAATAAATATACCTGCTTCATTATTTTGGTGGGGATTTTCTTTTCAGTTTCAATTAGGATGTCAAAGGCTGTCAAATTAATTCCATCTTTTACAAGGAACCTCTGCAGTGGTTGACTGACGGGCAAACTTTTCAACCAAGCCACTGAGCTATATCTCGCAATATGATTTGGAATAATAAAAAGATATTAGAATAGCTAATGCAACAGTTTATTATCCAAATTATGTAAAACTGGGAATTTTTGCTAATTACCACTTAGAATAATTATTCATTTAATGAACAAAGATTGATGCATATGAAAATTGTTGTGCTAAAAGTGACGATTTGAAGCATACAACAAGTCTGGTCAGGAATTTGAAGTGCTTTAATAATTCCTGCTGCCCAACCTTCCCACCAGAGGAATCTGGACGTCACCAAGAGTTTACAGAACTGGTTACCAATCTTTTCTATCTTACCCTTCTCTAGGAAGAACCTCCAAGTGTGGACAACGTTGAAAATGGAGGTGTCGACAGTGATGAAATTGTCATTCACACCAAAAAGGATAAAAAGGCCAAGGTTGCCCCAAAGTTTGGTTGGCTTAAGGGTGTCATGCTGCGATGTCTTCTTAATATCTGGGGTGTTATGTTGTACTTACGACTGTCGTGGGTGGCTGGACAAGCAGGAATTGGCTGGTCGACTGTCATTATTGTGCTATCAGCGGTGGTTACAATGTTCACAACTCTGTCCATGTCAGCTGTGTGCACCAATGGTGAAGTCAAAGGAGGTACGGTGAACAGGGTTTGTTAATTTGCGTTAACCTTGGAACAGTTTCCAAGATTGCTTTGTAAAAATGTCAAACTAATCACTCTGGCTAATTTTAACCCAATAAAGCCATCATGATCAATTGCCAAAGCAAACACATGCAATTAGCATCAAGTAGCCAAAAAATTGATACAGGTGAATCACAAAATTGCGTAACTTTGAATAGCTTACAAAAAATGACATTGGCCTGAGATTGTCCAACTGATCACTGAGCATATTACTGTAAAAATAAAGCAACATTAAGTGAGTTAAATGTGAAAATATACTAAATATCATAACTAACGGTGTACAATTTATGAAAATATCAAAATTAATATTAAATCAGACAACCACGCACAATTTACAAGGGTCTTCATGATTTGCCAAACTAAACAATAGGTATACAACACAAACAATGGCCCTAAAAACAAAAGAGGTACAGATTAACAAGAACGAATCAAAATAGAAGTTTTAAAGAGGTGCAGGTCATCTGAACTTTTTGTTGATTGCTATAATTTATAATATACGTACATGTATGTACATGTAATAAGTATTTGTGTTGTCAGATGAAATTTTCGATTTTCTTAATGTTGCAAAGTAATGGTACATATGCATGTACGTTGTAGACTATAACTCAGTGCTTTTGTAAGCTAATAATAAATTATATTTGTGTTTTTTTCTTTTGTTCAGGTGGTGCATACTATTTGATTTCCCGCAGTCTTGGGCCAGAGTTTGGTGGCTCCATTGGGTTAATCTTTTCTGTTGCCAATGCTGTAGCTGTTGCTTTGTATGTTGTTGGTTTTGCCGAAACCATTAAAGACTTGATCAAAGAGAATGGCGGTGATGTGGATGTGATTGGGGAACTCAACATTATACGCATTGTTGGCATTTTCACAGTTTTGCTGTTACTGGGTGTTACTCTCATTGGCCTAGAGTGGGTCGTGCGTACTCAGATGTTTCTCCTTTGTATCCTGCTCATCTCCATTGTTGATGTGATGATTGGCACTTTCATCGGGCCCCTAAACGAGGAAAGTCGCGCTAAAGGGTTCATTGGGTTAGACCTTAACCTGTTTAAGGAAAACTTTGGGCCAGCTTATCGCGAAGGTGAAAATTTCTTTTCTGTGTTTGCTGTGTTTTTCCCGGCAGCCACTGGCATCTTGGCTGGAGTGAACATCTCTGGTGACTTGAAAGACGCACAGAAAGCCATTCCTAAGGGTACACTGTGGGCCATCTTAATCAGCACCATTATATACGTGGCTCTTGATTGGCTTGCAGCAGCTTGTGTTCTGCGAGATGCTTCAGGAGTGGTTGTAGCAGCGGTTGTCAATCAAACAATGAATGCGACTAGTGCTCCACCTCACCAGTGTGCAATCGACTTTACCTGCGAGTATGGTCTAATGAACGATTTCCAGGTATGGGAAGTATTTGTGTATTATTTTGTAGTCTTATTCTGCCACAGTTAAAATCTATCCAATGTATGTTTAGATGACTTCTTGTCCTAGCATAGGAAGCTAGCCTCAAACATTTCTCCAGCTGGAGATCAGTCTCTCTAACAATTGTTTCTTGAAGAGGCATAGAGAGGCATTCAGAGCTGTTAAGGAATTCATCCTTTCAAGGTGTACTGTAATGGCCCTTTCAAAAAATCTCAGTCCTCTGAAGTATAAAGAGATGGTAACTGGTACATTTACCCTTAGTGCACAAAAAGCCTTAGCAACGTTCATAAAAAATCTTCAGACTTCGTTAGTAGATGATGTCTTGTTTATTGATAACCATAATGATAACAACAACAATTACCACTTTATTTAAACTGAAGGAGATTGATCAGTAGATCCATGTAGGCAAACACTGGTATAAACTGGTGATAATTACATAAAAAACATACACAATCAAAAATGTTAACAACATTAATGGCAAGTGGAGCTTAGGTGAGCATGGAAAACACACCCAACACTTGCCATGTAAACCCAGCCCCATGATGTAAGACTGCCCACAGGGCAGGCACTGCCAGCAACTCAGCTATGAGTCCCCGACAACCGCAGTGAACCCATGCACTAGTCACACTGAAGTGAGAATTTCAGTGGAAAAGTAAAATATAAACAGGTGAATATTAACTTTAAAAGCCAACGTTTCGGTGTCATCGTGACACCATTCTCAAGACAAAGTGAATAAATAATGCGAAGATTTGATTTCTATACAGTCTCTACAAATTAGCATAATAACAAAGGATCACAAGTTCTTCAAGTGAATACCTTTGCGCAAATCGAGTCTGTTTGCACGTTTAGGGATGGTTCATGTTTTCTTATAAAAAACATCTCCTTAATTAAGGAGATGCATACACATTTATATTTTGATGTTAATTTCTATTTAACTGTATTAAGAAAAATTTACTCTAACAGTGAATAATTTTCTCTTGTAATGTTTGTTCTTTCTCAACAGGTAATGGAGAAAATTGCAGCCTGGGGACCAATAGTGACTGGAGGTATCTTTGCGGCCACTCTGTCTTCTGCCTTGGCTAGTTTAGTTGGAGCACCGAAGACATTCCAGGCACTTTGCAAGGACAACATCTTCCCAGGAATCCATTACTTTGGAACTGGGGTTAGTTGTGAGCTTTTAAAAACAGAAATCATTTTCTGGGTGGCAAAAGTACGTTCCAGGTTTTAAATCTGTGTCACAAAAAAGGACTTAATACATTGTGCCACAAGGTCTTAGGATAGTCTATCATGTCATACCTTAAATCTGTATTCAGAACTGATATTTTTGAAGCTTGGTCAGAGACTGACCCTTTTAGGGGTTTTTGGGATATTTAGGATAGTCAAGATATTTAGGTAAAAAAATATTGGGATATAGGAAATTTGGAGGAGAAAATAATGGAATATGGGACACTTGAAACAGATATGGTCCCGGATATTGAGTACAGGTAGGAAAATTATTTATTTTTGAAAGATTAAATTGACAGCATATGGGGTACATAGACCAAACATTAAGCAGTACAGGATATTCAGATCTTGCCAAGCGGGGCCTCGAGACCAGAGCACTTCAGGTCATGCATTGTTAATGAAATAATGTTTTTTTGAAATATTGTTGATGGCTTACAGAATGTGCATCTCACCAATATTGATGAACTGCTTGGATTCCTTAACCTTAGTCCTTCATCTTGTGTTTTTCTACATGACCAAAATTTGACCCTACTCTTGTCAGGTTGGACCAGGTGATGAGCCTCGCAGAGGATACATCCTGACTTTTCTCATCGCTGGAGCCTTCATCGCCATTGGAGAATTAAATGTCATTGCACCAGTCATTTCAAATTTTTTCCTCATGTCCTATGCGCTCATTAACTATGCAGTGTTTGCAGCATCGCTTGGCAAGTCGCCCGGGTGGAGACCCTCTTTTAAGTACTATAACATGTGGGTGTCCCTGGTAGGGGCCCTGGTGTGTATTGTCATCATGTTCCTCATTAACTGGTGGGCCGCTCTGCTGACTATTGTCATCATCATCGCATTGTACAAATACGTGGATTACAAGAAACCTGAGGTAGGTCTCGGTTTTCGTGCGCGTTAAAATAGCGTTTAATTCCTCTAATCCCGAGACGAGTGACACGACTTGTTACAGGTGTTTCAATTTTTTCTGCAATTGAGATAAACGCGTTCTCAAAGCTATTACAATTCTTTCCAAGAAGCTAAATTTCAAACATGTTTTGCTTGTAGGTCAACTGGGGCTCGTCTGCGCAGGCCTACACGTACATCCGGGCACTTCGTTTCACCTATCGCCTCAATGCGGTTGAAGATCACGTGAAAAACTTTCGTCCCCAGTGCCTTGTGCTGACCGGTTCCCCCTCGTCCCGTCCCGATCTTGTTCATTTGGTGTCACACATCACTCGTAACAGAGGATTAATGGTTTGCGGTCAAGTCAAGATTGGTCCATTTGGAACTGTGTCGGGCTATGAGGATAGCTGGTTGAAAATGCACAAAATAAGAGCTTTCCATACCATTTGTTCAGGTAAAATCAACGTACAGTTTACAACTTTACTTAAGCTATTGGAACAGAGAGCTATGGCCGTGACGGTAGATTTGAAACTGAAAATTGTTCCTTTTAAAGCAGAAGCTTATCTATTTAAACGTTAGCAGTTTTCATTTTTTTTCTTGAACTAAGTACAGTTAGGTTATTCGCTGTGATGTTACCCAAGATTGTTCTATTTTTTGATATAATTCACCCGCCACCCTCTCATTTGTGAAAGTGGGTCGCTCAGTCAGTTACAAAAAATAAAATAAAAGCCCTGTCGGGCGATGAAAAATGAAACATCTGGACCACCTAAATTGTCGCTAGCGTCTGGCATTTGACATAGATTAGGTTTATTTTCAGATCACGCTTAGTTTTTTAAGACATCTGTCCGCAAGAACTCTATTAGTAAAGAGAAGTAATTGTTGTTGGTGTTTTCATTGTTGTTGTTGTCGTTGTTGTCGTTGTTGTTGT